TTTTGAGGGGTTTTTCTTGTGGTGCACTTTACCTTACTGCTAGATATGAGATCCATATCAGAAACTCAGCTGCTGGTGGTGGCTTATGTTCTCAGTGAGTTTTACTTCCAGTACATTTTTCTGAGGGGAAGAAAAAACTGGCTTTGGCAAAGCAGGTGTGAGAATTGAACAAGAAGGCCGCACTGTTCTCAGAGAGGAAGGACTGTTTCACCACAGCCTTTCACCGCACCAGCCCAGACACCAGAGAGAATTCTTCTCACAACAATGTTCTCAGAAGCCCCATCAATCATTTGCTTATAGATCTTTCAACAGATTCCACCCGTCATCTATTTCAGAAGAAGCAGCCTAAGGCATTAACTTAGTGAAGATTTTTTGTTGTGTTGTTCGAGCAAAACAACTTCACTAGCTCTAATCTGAGTACGTAGTTTTCATATTAGCAACTTGGAGGAGTCAAGCCAGGCTGAGAAAATTGTCTATCAACTAATCTACTATACTTCAAATCCTCGGAGCTTTTGTTTATACTTTGAGCCACAGCACTTCTAAGGTTTAAACCCCTGTTGCTGTATTCAAGAAGCTCTTACCTTAAGAGCCCCTTGAAACTTTGTTTTCTCTTTGAGTCAAAAGCATTTCTATGACTAAACTTTTCTGCTTCATCCAATAGGTTTTTAATTAAAACAATAATAACATCCAAGAAATTAAGCTTGTTGGCCAATTTGGAAAGTTTGAAGTTACGCATTTTGTATTCTGCACTCAAAATAGATTTGCATAAATCTAGAGTATATGTGAGTCACAGAGTGTTAATAAAATTGTATCAAGCAATGGTAGAAGAGTACCCTCACATCAGCTAACACTATATTTGGTCAGTTTAATTCTTATTCTTGATTAAATACTAGCATAACAAACTAACCATAGGTAGATTTCTGAAGGTGGGGGCACTTCCTCCTTGTACTGTCATAGTCCAATGATACATTGGCCAAGTCAACGGAAGGAATAGAACCACTCTCTGCCTACAAGAATAGAGGAATTATGCTTGTATTGTCTTGACAGAGTCTCAGGAATTTGGAATGTAAATATATTCATGCATGTAAAACACACAGAGCAAATGTACTGCTATCTGGGGTAGGATAATCCTGCCAAGAATCAGCCAGTGCTTCAGCCTGACAGGAGGAATTCTGCTCCAGTTATAATCATTCAGCGCATCTTGTTTCTCATTTGCACTGAGAATGGAATCCAGTTTTTGGTGGTAGCTAACTTTCTTCCCATTCTTGCATAAGGTTATGTTCTGAAGGACACAGTCTAGATTCAGGATTGGTAGCATTGGCTTGATCTGAAAATTCTAATGTGGAAATGCTTACATACATAAGTTTTATTTCGTAAAAAGCTTCTAGTTCTACCCTCTCTTCTTTCCTGTATGGGATCCAAGTCCAGTAGGAAAGTGTTCCCTATAAATCCTTTCAGATCCTTTTATTGTGTTTTGCCTTCCGACACAAGTGGTTACTTTTCATTTTACAGATGGAACTTGGTTTAAATTCAAGAAGTTAAATAGATTGAAAATGTGTTGCTCAACCATGTTTGTAGCAGCCTTATTTGTAATAGCCAGAAGCTGGAAACAGCCCAGATGCCCCTCAGTGGAGGAATGAATGCACAAATTGTGGTATATCTACACAATGGAATATTACTCAGCAATAAAAAACAAGGAAATCATGAAATTTGCAGGTAAATGGTGGGATCTGGAAAAGATCATCCTGAGTGAGCTATCCCAGAAGCAGAAAGATGCACACGGTATATACTCACTCATATAGACATAGAATATAGGATAAACCTACTAAAATCTGTACACCTAAAGAAACTAATCAAGAGGAAGGACTCTTGCTAAAATGCTCAATTCCTATCCAGAAAGGCAAAGAGGCTGGACATCAGAAGAAGTAGAAAAGAGGGAACAAGTGAGGAGCCTGACCCAGAGGACCTCTGAAAAGCTCTGCCCTGCAGACTATCAATGTAGATGCTGAGACTTATGGGCAACCTTTGGGCAGAGTGCAGGGAATCTTAGGAAAGAAGTGGGAAACAGTAAGATCTGGAGAGGACAGGAACTCCACAAGGAGAGCAACAGAACCAAAAAATCCAAGCACAGGAATCTTTCCTGAGACTGATATTCCAACCAAAGACTATGCATGGAGATAACCTAAGACCCCTGCACAAATGTAGTCCATGGCAGTTCAGTATCCAAGTGGGTTCCATTGTAATAGGAACAGAGACTGTCTCTGACATGAATTGATTGGCCTGCTCTTTAATTACCTCCCCCTGAGGGGGAAGCAGCATTACCAGGCCACAGAAGAAGACACTGCAGCCACTCCTGATGAGACCTAATTGAGTAGGATCAGAAGGAAGGAAAAGAAGTCCTCCCCTATCAGTGGACTTGGGGAGGGGCATGCATGCAGAGGGTGGAGGAAGGGAGGGATTGGGACTGGAGGAAGGAGGGAACCACAGGGGGGATACAAAGTGAATAAAGTGTAATTAATAAAGAAAAAAGAAATGGGAAAAAAGATATTAGAAAATATTTAAAAATGGCTCTTCGCTCTTCCTTCCATAGCTACTAGAAGGAGTGAATTAATGAGTCATTCCTGACTGTGTGTGTCTAAGAAATCATAGATGAGATCAGAAGGAAGAGCATAGTGTCCCATAGACACAGCTTCTTAAGAGGCCTGATTCTCTAAGATGACAGCATCTTGTTGGAATCTTGCTCCTGACTTCAGAACCTAAACCTCTGAAAAAGAGGCAACTGAATGTGCACTGTGAGAGAAGGGTTATCTAAAATTAGATCACTATGCCCTGTACCCCCATTAGACAGGAAGCAAAATATCAGTGGAAGAGACCGAGCTGATAGCCACAACCCGGGCTCTGCTCAGAATCACATGCTTGCTCGGTAGCCCCTGTTAAGCAAGACATGACTCATACCCAAAATCAAAGACACAAATCTATCTAGAGCAGTAGGCTGGATATCAGCATGCCTAGGAAACAGAGGACTTCTCCTTAGCTACCGTTTGCAGGGTGCATGCTTTAAAATGGTACTTTCCTGCACATTTGTGCTTCCTATGCAACTTCTAAAATTTTCCTGTTACATTTGGTATTGATTGCCCTGCCATTCTTTAAGAAGACTAATGAGTAAATCCAAAGGAAAATATTGGGGGGTGGGAGGTTTCTTGCTTCTTATGATATGAAGACATGCCCAACTTCAAGATAAAGGCCTCTTCTCCAACCTGTCATTAAGATAAATAAGTTGAGCTTTCCTAACAAGAAACAAAGCAAGATACACTACCAAAGAATTAATATAATTCTCAACTTGCAATACTTGTTTTCACAGATTTTAAACCAATATCTATCGTGATTTCAACTTAAATGAGTAAAATTTGGACAGAGCGCAGGGAGTCTTATGGAAGAAGGGGAGATAGAAGGACCCAGCAGGGACAGGAGCTACAACAGGAGACCAACAAAGTCAAAAAAGCTGAGCAATGGGAGGACGGACTGCAGAGACTGATGCATCAACCAAAGACCATGCATGAAGAGGACCTAGACACCCCACACACACACACACACAAATGTAATCAATAGTCAGCTCAATCTCCATGTGGGCTTCCTAGTAAGGGGAGAAGAGACTGTCTCTGACATGAATTTGGTTGCCTGTTCTTTGATCACTGCTCCCTAGGCAGCCCACAGAGGAAGAAGATCCAGACAGTCCTCATGGGACCTGATAGGCTAGGGTCAAACAGCAAGGAAGGAGGACTTTCCATATCAGTGGACTAGGGAAGAGGAATAGGGGAGGAAAAGGGTGGGAGGATGAGACCTGGAGGAAATGAAGGAGGGGGCTAAAATTGGGATAGAAAGTGAATAAACTGTAAAATAATAATAATAATAATAATAATAATAATAATTAGAAAATATTTTTAAAATAAATAGTGACTGTGGGGTAAAAGTTAAAACTACAAAACATCTTCAGACACACTTTTTTAAACCACTTAAATTCATAAGACCTTGAAATACCATCAACCAAATCTAAACTAATGCCTAGGAGCAGCGAGAGATAGGGTCTGTAGAACGAACTTCTGAACAACAAAAGCAGCTCCAATTCCTTCCAGCACCACAACTAGAGACTGCTCATTTTGTTGTCTGTTACCCCAAGCACAGATCATGCAGAACAGGAGCTGCAGCCTGAGGCTCTGTGAGCCTTCCTGTATGTATCTATTAGCCAGTCATGGGTTGATACTCTCATGTCAATAACATAGGAACAGAGCTGAGTGCTAGAACGATTTGAATCATGAAGTATCAAGATGGAAACTCTGCCTTGGAATGTTGCCATCCTCTTTGGGTGGATAGAACTGTCGGCATGGTTGGCTGACAGTAGGGAAGAGTTAGACAAATGTTGCACTAAAGGAAAGTTTGCTAGTTAGCGCAGTGAAGCTGTTCCGCATAAAACAGTAGAGTCCAATCCAGGCTTACAATTCCAACCACAGGGAAGCCATGGGTCTACAATTCAAAGAAATTGCCTCCTCGCTCACATCAGTCTTCTAAAAACAAATAGAAACAAACAAGCCAATAGTTATGTTCAATCTATTTGTCAAAACAAGGCGTCCATAGACTCTGAGGTGTAAAAGTCCAAATTCGCTTGTAGAAATTATCAGTCTAGTATATCACTTCATTCTGGTTCCTAACTTGAGAGTAAAACCCTTAAGATTCTACAACCTAGAGATATTTTTTTAATTTTTTATTTAACTTTTATTAATTACACTTTATTCATTTTGTATCCCCCCATAAGCTCCTCCCTCCTCCCCTCCCAGTCCCACCCTCCCCCCCTTTCTGCATGCATGCCCCTCCCCAAGTCCACTGATAGGGGAGGTTCTCCTCTCCTTCTTTCTGATCTTAGTCTATCAGTTCTCATCAGAAGTGGCTGCATTGTCAGGGTTCTAGGTTATCTCCATGGATAGTCCTTGGTTGGAGTATGAGTCTCTGGGAAGTTCCCTGTGTTCAAATTTTCTTGTTCTGTTGCTCGGAACCTGCCACAGAGGGCCTCTGAAAGCCTCTGCCATGCAGACTGTCAAAGCAGATGCTGAGCCTGATGGCCAACTGGCGGGCAGAGTGAATGGAATTTTAGGTAAGAAGTGGGAAATAGTAAGAGCTGGAGAGGACAGGAACTCCACAAGGAGAGCAACACAACCAAGAGATTTTACAAGTAGACCAAAAATAGAGATAGTCTCATATCTAGCTGAAAGGTGAAAATACATTGGTTATCTGTACAAACATGAGGTCATAATTAAAATATTCAAAATTTCACTGATGACCAAGAGAGACACACCAAGTTGGTTAAACACCTGCATGAAACAGCCACAGTGTTAAGAGATTTAGATATGTAAATTTAATGATTCCTAGTTTAGAGGAAAGGAAACAGTTTCAGAGAGGCAAGCCCATAGTTAATTACTTAGTTACTTTATTTCTTCCCTTTAGCCAGTCCGAGAAAATACTGTGTGTTGGCAAAGCAAAAGCTGTGCAATGAACAGTAAAGAAAATATCTAAAATATCATTCTGAGTTTTGGGGATGGGGGGTTAATCTTCTGAAGTCGTGTGACTGTCTCCGTGGCCTGGTTCCCAGGGACAGGCCTTTAGAGCTTCCAGGCAATGGTCATCATGATGATGAAGTACACATCAGTGTCGATGGATGCACTCACGCCTGCGTAGTAGTTCATGAACTCCTCAGGAGTCACCTGTTGTAGAAAAGTTAGAAAGAAAGGACACTTTGCTTCTCATTTTAAAGGAGGCCTCCCTGCCATCCCTAGAAAGAGAAGGGGCATCACCACTGAGGATTTATGTGTGTGTGATGGCAGCTGAGAAACAGACCTAAAAGAAAAGTAAAGAGAATAAATGGGCTTAAGGATAGTGGTGACAGTGGCTCAAAGCAGGAGGAAAAGTAAGCCCTGAAAATACCCAAGCCATCCTAAGCAAAGGGTGAGGCAGGGGTTGTCATCTTCTCTTTAAGAACCTGGACTGGTTAGTTCAGACATAAGAGACTAAAGTCAGAAAAAGAAATATGTGTTCTTCAGCTGCAGTTAATACTGTGTTTCTGGCACATGTCAGAAGCAGGTCATGTCCAAGGTCAGGATAAGCGATGTCTCAGCTTTCAACAAATGCTTTGTCTTATGGGTAGAGAAAGAGACTTCTAGTAAAACGTGTGTGGTTTGCCTACATTTCCAGATATGAATTACTCATTCAAGGCTGAGAGTTAACAAAAACATTACCTCTAAGTCAAAAGACAAAAACATCACAGGAAAGGAAATTCATAAATAACCAAAGAATAGTTCTTAGTCCATAACAGCTTAATATGTCCCACTAATCTTTGGAACCATTACTATCTCTTCTATGTACTATAGGGGCTCATTGACCAACATAAAAATGAAACAAAACAAAGTCTGTAAGTTAACCAAAATATTCATGTGACCCACAGTGTCTCCATAAACTGTTTCCCAAACCTTCTCACTCAAAATCAGTGAAACACATTAGGAAAAATCACCCTCAATTCAGTGAAAAGTGGATCTGTGATCATCTGAAGGTAATTACAAATAAATAATGTACATGTGGAAATTATTCTCTATAAGAAAGAGTTTGCTATAGGTTTTTTATATTTATAATTTCTTATATTTTTAAGATATTATAAAAAGGTTGAGGACTGAAGAAATCACTCAGTATTAAGAGTGCTGACTGTTCCTTTCTTGTGTTCAATTCCCAAAAACCCACAAAAGTTTGAATCACTTTTATGAACATATTTATTATGTCTATTAAATAAAATATCTGTAAAGTCCTTAGCACAATAGCCAGTAAATACACATTCAATAAATATTGTTCAGATTCATTATTATACCAAATAAGACTGTGTATATGTTTAGCAATAAAAATAGGCTTTTTAAAAAAATAATTTAGCTCTAAGGATCTCAAATGTGTGCAAGCATCAATGGAGCATATATTAAATATGCAAAGACTTTGGGGGTACATCTCTGTAAATGTCAGGTTCTGTGTTTCCTTAGTATTGTCAGTAATGTGCATTTTCAACACACACACACCCAATGATAATTAACAGCTAATATTCAATAATATTCAACATTATTACAAAGCTTATGATACTCAAGCAACATCAAATACCGTAACTACAGGAGGAAAAAAAACCCTCAATAACCTTTTGAGAATTTGAGAGATTTATGTGGCTGATTAAGATAAATGTCAGAAGGAGATGAAATGGGGACGTTAAATCAGTTGAATCACAAATGGCTACTTGGACCTGCTAGAATCAAGGGCAGCTGACATTTCCCCTGTGACGAGAAGGAACCACCTGCAGAAGGAACCAGAAACAGGGACCTATGTAGAGTCAAGCTATTAAGGGAAATGGCAGTTGGCTATTTTTCTCTGACACCTTGGAGATCAAAGGCAGGAGGGCTAGAGGAAACATACAGTTCTGTTATTTCTGTTTTAGAAATTTGGCTGCCCAGAGAAACTGGGGCTCTTGTATCTGCTGTCACAAATTCCTCAACCTACAAGACACTACTTCAGCTACTTCCCTATCTCTGACTTCGAAATGTCAGCAGGCAGGAAACTTCCCCTTCCTACCTCCCACCCCTTGATAATAAGGCAGGTCATCAGATTTTATGGGAAAGGAAGGGGGAAATTCCCTGCAGAGGGAGGAGGCTTGCTGATCCTTACCATAAGCACCACCCCTTCCTACTCACTGCTCCACTTACCTTTTCTGGAATGACCCAAAGGTTGAGAGGTGCTGCTGCTGCTGCTGCTGCTGCTGCTGCTGCTGCTGAGGGCTCCCCTCCCCCATCACTGTAACTACCAGGTCATCTAAGACAAAAACTGCCTAAAGTGTCTAAGTATCTAAACAGGTGGCTTATGAGTCTTTAGTCATCTCTTCCAGCACACAACATTTTATATATTTTACAGTAATGATTAATGAAGATAGAGTGTTTGCTGTCGTCTCCAAGTTCACTGTAATTTAGATGTGCAAGCTAATCTCAAAACTGACTAAAAAATGAGTCAGGGTAAATTCTGCTCGCTGGGATTCCCTTTACCCACCGCTGCCTTTTCACACGGCAAACCGTGATGGCAAATGATACTCCTAAGAGCAAGAGTAAAAAGAACTAAATGTCCTAAAAAGCCTTCGGGGGATGTTCCAAAGCATCTTGGTCCCATTTAAAATTAAACACGGTTTTATTGTAATCTATGTCATGAGAATATAGTTGGCTGTATATGGGGAATACCGCAATGATGAGATGGGCTGATGCTGAAAACAACACGTTTTCCGTGATGAGCAATTAGCAGCTGGTTTCTTCCCCTACCAAGAAAGCCTGTTCAGTGTATGTTTTCTATTTGTAAGTTGTGTTGTCAAGAAGTTGCTATTTTTAAGGCTCTGAACCTATTCCTCATTTACAATTTCAAGCTGGGTAGACAAATTTCATTTGAATTAATCTTTTCCACTTACCAATCCATCTTTGTCATAGGGTGAGTCAAAATTATCCAGAAATTTCCTGAAGACTTGCTCCTCTGTCCATTCTCCATTTTGGTACTTTGGGTGGTGTTTAGCGTTATAAACTTCTCGAAGGTCTTCAATGGTTATAACCCCATCTCCAGTTTTGTCTAACTTCCTGAAAGCTCGCATAATTACCTCTTTTCTGGCTCTGGACATTGGGGGCTAGATTTTTTTAAAAATTGAAAAAAAAAACATGAGGAAAATTATATGCAAATGAGCCTCTTCTGTAGCAGACGTGATTAAATATTCCCTTCGGTGGACCCTCTGCTGCTTCACCGTCTTCTGCCCACACCCTCCAAAAAGTACTAACAAGTGCTGAAAACAAAGCCTTGAAGTAACCAACCCAAGATCCATGATAGCCAAATTCCTCAACAGAAAATACTGACCCATGGGGGTAGAGTTGGGAACGACATTTACTCCCGTTTTTGTTTGTTTGTTTGTTTGTTTTTTACTTCAAGTTTTATTGATTCTTTGTGATTTTCACATCTGTACCCCACTCCCACTCATTCCCCTGACTCTTCATATCCCCCCTCTGCTCTTTTAGTTGCAAATGTTCATTGCGATGAGTCACCGGTCCAGTGTGACTTCTGTCACGCTACCAACAGGAGATCTGCACCAGGACTCACACTTACTCTTAATGTGAGAAGAAATTCATTGAAGTCTATCGTCCCATTTCCATCTCTATCGAATCTCCGGAAAAGTTCTTCTGCCTCCTCTTTTTCCATGACCACAGCATAATCATTTAACCCTTTCAAAAATTCTTTGAAATCAAGGGTTCGGTTGTTATTGTCATCCATAATCCGAAACACTCTGAAGATAACAACATTAAAACAACAACGACACACACACACAAAGAACAATGTGTGACTGTGAGGCTGCAGAACCAGCGCTGTTTGTCTTTAAAGTGTAACACAGGAGTTCCAGCTTTCTCTCCACAGCCTCGCTCCCAAGTGCAGACTCTCTCCTCAGCATTTTGTACCAGAAGGAAAGCCTTCCAACACACATGTGCGTGGGTACACCTACACACAGAGAAAGGGCTACAGTTGCACTGTCTGGTTCTAATTCCGTGACATGCACAATAGTTTGGATCTTTTCTGTTTCCCAAAAATCTAGGAGTGGGGGTTTGGCTGTCAGGTTCCCTGGAGCAGCTGGAGATCAGCAGTGCCTGCAGAGGCTGTTGTGGAGCGGAAGAAAGTCATGTAATTTGAATTTGAATCCTGCCCTTGCAAATGGTATTGTTACCTGGACCCTGCCTGAGTTCTGGTGCTTTGCCTCCCAGCCACCAAGAAGAGGAAGATTTACCACCACTGCATGTTCCCTGGGCTGTGACACTGCCCTGTCACAAGCCCAAAGCAATGAATTTAAGTGATCATAGACTGACGCCTCTAAAACTGTGAGCCAATATGAACTTATCCTCCTTGCAGGTTGATTATCCTAGGTATCATGTTATAATAATGAAGAGCTACTAATGTAGGTAACCTTTTCAGGAATCCACGTCTGCTAGTAAATCCATAGTTTCCTCATCTTTCACTTAAAGAAATGCCAAAAAAATGTAGCTAAGCAACTGAATCACAGTTTATCATATAGTAAAATCTCCAGAAGCTAATAACAAGCATAATAAAGCTCTAATTTCTCCAGTATGTGTACATGGACCACATAAGCTGCATAGATGCTCTTTTGTCTGCAGGAAGCTTCTCCTTAGAAGCACATCTGTTACAGCCAAGGAGTCTAATCATTTAAATGCACGGTACCTACAACTTTTATGAAAGACATAGAGTGTCTTCTCATTGATTTTGTAGTGCTTAAGGTCTTTCTATAAATGTCATAGCACACTGTTATGATCTTACTGTTTTTTGGGCTTTCCCTTCTCTTCCACCATACACCAATCCCCATACAAAAGCCCTAAAAATTATATTTTTCACTAGATTTATAAAAGACAGAATTATTATTTAGGATTTCAAAACTATGAACTTGACTTCTAGCTCTGCAGTAATACCAGCTATGTAAACTTGAGCCTAACTTATAGCTGCCCTGGGTCTCACTTTTCTATAAAAGTCTACACTCTTGATCCTTCCTTTCCAATTAATACTAACATAATGTGCAATTTCTAAGTTACAACTTACAGGGTTGTTTTTTTGTTTTTTGTTTTTTTTTTTTTTTTTTTTTTTTTTTTTTGCTAGTTCTGTGATGAGAGCTTCAGATGCAAATGACATCAAAGGAGATGCCTGGATGTGGGAGAAAGTAGACCAGCAAGAAGGAGTAGATAAATGTAAAAGGACAATGGGGAGGAGATGAGTAAGGATGAATGATGACACATATGTATAAAATGCCGTAATGAGAACATTTTTTGCAATGCGAAAAATAAAAATAGATAAAACGTCAGATTCTTTTCCTTTGCATTCCATACTTTGTTTTAAAATCTAGAAAGAACACTCTGAGTGTTGAATTTAGCACTGAATCTTGAATAAGCACATTATATAGACTTGAACATGAACTATATGGCAACAAAGCCCATCTCTAGGTTTTATATTGTTATAAATTTGCTTCATAGCAATCATTCTATTAATAGTTATCAGCTACAAGAGTTCATGAATAAACTTTCTTGCTATAAGAAATAGATTGATAAGTTTCTTTTTAAGGGATAAAATTTGAAATAAATAATGTATCACTAACATCTTGTATTGATCAATAAATTTCAACATTAGTTAGTCATCTATAAGCTGCCAAATATTGCATTAAACCTTGCAATGTAAGATACATAGGTAAATGAGTCACAGACTCTATCCTTAAGGAATTTATTCAGAGAAATATAAGAGAGATAGAGAAAGAGAAGGAGAGAGGAAAGTAAGAGAGATAAGAGAGAGAGAAAAAACAGGAGAGAGAGAGGTGTTCAGCTGCTAAGCTATTCTGAGTTCTGGCAAGGGTAAGCATTTCAGATCAACAGTATTTTGTAGGACAGCCCTTGTCCATCTCTGGGAACAAGAAGCTACCAAAGGTTTAAAAAAATTTAATAAACATGGACAAGTTGGTCCATAGAAGAATGTAAAGAATTTTAATCTCCTTACTTCTAAAGGACTTAAACTTTGTTACATGTTAAAACAGTAACTGTATAGTTTTTATGAGCAAAATATAAAAAAGATAAAAATTTTAGAGACCCTTAAAAATAGCCGGTTAAAAGAATTATAATACAGTATGCTTGGAAGTGAACGAACTAGTTATGGGTGCTGTGGTAAAGTCCAGTGGAAAGGAGTTGAGTATCTGCTTATGAGCAACTGAGATGAAAATATGAGAAGAGATCGCAAGATACTTCAGAAGTTGAATCGTCAGTGTGGTGGGCTGATGAAGATAATTTGTCGGAGTGAGAAGGTTATCAGCTCACAATGGAAAAGCTAGCTGAGGTGAAGATGGAATAGTAACAATTTTCCAACTCAAAACATGATGAGTGTTGATAGCTCCATTTACGGAAAGGACTGATTCATCTTTTTTTTTTTGGGGGGGGGTAGTAAAGCAATTACCAGAGATTTTCACCAGTTGCCAATTATTTAAAAACTTAGCTCATGTCTTTGGATATAAGACATAAATTAGAGCTCAAGAGAGAGTTTTCTGCCCAGTATGTACAAGGGGACAAAATCTCAGTAGTGCATAAGACATATGATGAATTCAAAATATTGGCAATAGAAACAGGAGCTATAAATGTTTCTTGGCTACTAGGAATATTTAAGGAAGAATCTATACTACTAAAATTCTCCAGACTTCAGTGTCAAAAAATAAAGATGCCAAAATAATAACTGAGTCTTCTTGATGTTGACCTTCAGGATAAATACTTCCCATCCATCCAGTGATGGGAAGATGGTTCCATTAGCCTACATTTCACAGAATGAGTGTTCTGGGTGTTGGCAGATGGTAGATACTAATTGAAAAGATGCCCTTCAAAGGCAAGATCGTTGAGAATGTTTATGTTTGTGGGAATATATTTACTTGAGTCTGGACTTAGAAGAAAGGGAAGTGCCTGCCTTTCAATAGATGCTAAGATAAGAGTAGTCTCTAAGAGGGCTTCCCTCTATATGAATTGAGGACAGACTAGGGAACAATGGCTAACAATGAAGACAGTCAGAGGTTTAAGCAGAAGCCTAGAGTGAGAAGGTATCAGCTCACAGTGGAAAGACTAGTTTAGGTGAAGGTGGAGTGGAAACAAAAGGTAGGAATGGCACAGGCAGCAGGAAGCATTCAGTTGCATGATCATTAGCGAAAGACAGGTCAGGGTTTTCTCAGATGTCTGCCCTGAAGACAAGGAGGTGAACCCAAGATGGAAGAGCTAGAGTTTGGAACCATAGAACACTGAAAGGAAGTAACCTATGATAGCATCTACAGCCCTGAGCCAAGCTTAGTTTAAGAAGGACATGGGAGTGAGTGCCTGCTCATTTATTTCTTGAAAGTATTTTGGGTATGTGTACTTGACTGGAAATAAAGATTTCTGCAGCCTGGGGGTGTGAGGTTGGATTCTCCTCACACAGGCATCCTGTACTTCTTTATCAAATGCCTTGTACCACTGAAAGACACATTTATGACACGTTTACTTCCTTAGTCTAAGTACTTGGTGGGACCTACAGAAGCTTGTCCAGCTATGAGGTCCCCAAAATATATACATGGCCAGGCTTATGGTAGACACTCAATATAATTTTGTTAACATTACACAAGATCTTCCTCTGTGGCCTGGTAAGGCTGCCCCCACCTCAAGGGAAGATGATCAAAGAGCCAGCCACTGAGTTCATGTCCCTGTTCCCTCACTAGGGAACCCACTTGGAGACTAAGCTGCCATGGGCTATATCTGTGCAGGGGTTCTAGGTTATCTCCATGCATGATCCTTGGTTGGAGTATCACTCTCAGAAAAGCCCCATGGGCCCAGATTTTTTGGTTCTGTTGCTCTCCTTGGGGAGCTCCTGTTCCCTCCAGGTCTTTCTATCTCCCTTTTCTTTCATAAGATTCCCTGCACTCTGCCCAAAGTTTGTCTATGAGTCTCTGCATCTGCTTTAATACCCTGCTAGGTAGAGTCTTTCAGAGACCCTATGTGGTAGTCAGACAGTCTTGATGAGACCTGATAGGCTAGGGCCAGATGGAAGGGTAGGAGGACCTTCCTTATCAGTGGACTGGGGAATGGGCATGGGAGCAGAATAGGGAGAGAGGTGGGATAGGGAGGAGAGAGAGGGAGTCTACAGCTAGAATACAAAGTGAATAAATTGTAATAAATAAAAATTTTTAAAGTAGATACTCAGAAAACAATAGAGTATGTTCTGAACTCCATCTTAAACAACTATAATCTATTTTTAAAAACTGACTTGTTTTTTTAGTGTTTTTACCCATTGTTTAAATATGATAGTTAATTTTATGCATCAGTCTGATTGGAATAAGGTATATTCAACATTTTAAGCATTATTCCTGGGTGTGAAATTGTTCTCAGAAAAGCTCATAGGCAAAGTAGACTGACTGAAATGAGCATTCAGCAGTGGACACAAGGTTCATACTCAATGCAAAGAATAAAACAAAAAGTTCAGAAAAGGCAAAAAAGAAAAAATACACAATATCTTAAGGAGGCTCCCAGTCTCCTTTCTCCTTGAGATTCTCAGTCCTCAGGTCTACTCACACTATCAGGCACATGAGGGGACTCGCCTGACCATAGAATGCTGTAGGGCTGGACACTCAGCTATCCCGTGGGCAGTTGCAGGAAGAAGTGAGACATGACAGCCCAGCTGGGAACAAATCTCAGCTTCTTTCTTAGATAGGAACTCGTGTAGCCAATGCTGCTGGCCTCAACTTATTATGTAGCCTGAAAAGACATGGATCTGCTGATCATCCTGCCTCTGTCTCTCAAGTGCTGGGAGGACAGACAAGTGCCACCTTGCCTGTTTTCCCAAATTCTTTAATCATAACCCCCTCTTCTTCTTTTACCCCAGCTTTGGAGATGGCCTCTCTCCATGTTCCAGCCATGATTTCCTTTACATCCTTTGCCCCAGGAATTGCCCTTCCTTGGAACAGACACATGCTTTGCAGAATTTGGGGACTCAGAATTTAAGACTCAGATACCAGCTCACCCAAACAACGAATTTCATAGATGAGAAACTGGGGCCTTCAGAGGAAAGTGATTTGTGCAATATCACAACATCAGTGAAAAGGCTCTCCTACCCATTTCTGATCTTTCTGTCTCCTTTCCCAATGTCCACAACAGTGGGGGTTTGAAGGAGAATGGCTACCATAGATTCATATGTTTAATTTTCATCCCCATTTAGTGGAACAATTTGGAAAGGATTAAGAGGTATGGTCTTATGGGAGGAGACAGGTCACTGGGGATGGACTTTGAGGTTTCTAAAGCCATACCCAGTCATCTCTCTCTGCTTCCTGCGTGTGGATCTGGATGTACATTCTCAGCTACGATTCTTGTGCCATGCCTACCTGCCTTGCTTCCTGCCTGAATGGCCATGGTCACTGCAGTAGAAAAGTAACTAGGACGCCATCTACCTGCCAAGTCCTTTGATGCCTGCAGAGCCCCTGGCCAGGCATTGCAACCGCAGTTTTTCAATGGGATCAGTAGCTGTAGAGAGCTTTTTCTTGGATTGGATTGCCATCTCACGGTCATGGCGTGCTGTCCCTGCCATCTGAGAAAAGAATCCACAGCATGTTAGTGGAACCCTCACCATACAGCCCATCTCTGGCTGAGCAGCTGACAGAAGGAAACTTATAGCTTTCTGTTATCCTGCCCCCAGGGAACAGTCTACTCTGCTCTCTAAAATTTGCAGGTTTTAGCCATGTCAATTGTGCTTGTGCCTGGCATATTTACAACTTTATTTATCTAGTTTCAAAGACACCTGCTCCCTTCACTCTGGACAACAACTAAGAACACAGCCACTTCCCAATACAATTTGATCTTTCTGAAGCCTTTCTTTCACCATACAAAGAAGTCCTTAATAGTGAAGGGAAAGGAGCCAGGTAAAGGGACATAAGAAAGGGTTCAGACACTGCTAAGGATGCTAAAATTGAACAAATTTATATATGAATAATAAGTGTATGATACAGAGAAGCGACAGAAGCCATTTATCCTGGACCATTAGTAGTTAGTTAATAGTGAATTTCTCAGCGCTCACTGTTTTGAACCAACTGTGTGTGCTATTTTTTTTTTTTATTTATAATGCCCAATATGCCTTTGACCCTACTTTTAATGTTCTCCTTGGATTAAATGCTTGCTTTTGTCACTTCTACCTTCAGTGAGATTCTTAGTATGAGTGTCCATGATGCTTAGCAGTAACTTATACACTCTTTTTAGTAGGTTAATGCCCCTCCATACCTGACAAGGTTTATAGGAGAAATTTGATTCTCCAATTCTCTCTGTGTCTCTGTCTCTCTCTGTCTCTGTCTCTCTCTCTCTCTCTCTCTCTCTCTCTCTCACACACACACACACACACACACACACACACCTCACACACATCTTCCTCCATTTGTTTGTCTTTTTAGTAACCTGGGCAGTCCAGACTTGAGTTCTGAGAACACTTGCTTAAGTGGAAAGAGCCCAAGACCAAAAGCCTAGAGAGATGGGCTCTGGTCTTGCCTCTTCATATCCATCTCTAGTGAGTATGAGTCTGCCCCCACAGCCTCCATTATCTACTGTTATGACAGTAGAGACTAGAAAACACACAGCACCAGGATCTGCTCAGCGTCTGGTGAGGGACTTCTTACCACGCCATGACACTGACAGCATCACACGCCATAGCAGAACAAGATGTCAGCCCCGCCGGGAGCCCTTTGTCCTTTTGAAAAGCCATACTGTACTATCATGGAAGCCCCACCTTTAACTTCCTTTAACTTTAACTGTATCTCAGAGGCCCCACTGGAAAGTGTCGTTAACATACAAACTTTGGAATTAGGTTTCCAACACAAGAATTGGTGAGGGGGGGGGGGAATGCACATGAGAATCACAGCAGGAACCAAAGTGTGGATTGGTAAAATGACTTTCCTGTAAGTCCTGCCAATCAGCAGACACTGGGCTTTTGAGTCCCAGCTTGTTTTTTTTTTTTTTTTTTTTTATCTCCACCATATGTAACAATAGGCAAGAATTTCAAAGTGTAATTTGCTGGCACTCTCTTATGCAAAAATCAAAATAGAATTTGGGAAGACTGAATACTGGGAATCGAGACTCCACCCATTTCTGCCTTCTGAGGCCAATTCTACCAGAGATGATTTAGGATATTTCTAAATATGACTTGATAAATTCAGGAGGAAAATACAGCCAAGCATGGTACTTGAAATGCCAACATTCACCATCCCTTTTCATCATTTAGTCACTTAATTCATCAACAAACAGCCAAATAGTTACTATGTCATCTTTTCAATGTACCATGTTAGGATAGAAGGTAGGAAGGGTAATGCAGAGGCTCAAGCTCCTGAATAGCATAGAATTCTGAAGTCTCATATTAAAGCAGAACAGGGGGAAAAAAAAGTTTGCAGTACCTGGGGTTTGAGAGGAAGGTGGGATAAGGTGATGTTTCTGATAAAGAGGGTCAACATGTACTTAGAACTCTGAGATTTGTGTAACGTGTCCAGCCGTCTGAATATGACGTCATGATGTCACTGACATCACAGCCCCCGTTGAAGTGTTCTGACTCCAGAAGACACCCTTTGCCTCTTTGGTGAGAACAGTATAACCTGTCAGGCAGGGCTTGGCTTAGGATGCCGTCCTTCTCAATTCATGTGGCCACAGCACCACCATGTGCTGGCTCCTCACATGTGCAGCTCCCTTGTCAGAGGCGCAGTTCACTTAGTCCATACCCTCAGCAAAAGTCTAAGAGATCCCTTACCTCTGCCCAGACTGCTGGGTTTGGGGCAACAGAGGACGCAGCTTGGAATGTATGCTCTAACTCCATTACTGAGCTACAGTTCATCTCCTCAAGAAGGACCCAGGTACCACAGCTTGGTATGGGGACTTCCTGAGACATCAGAGAAGAAATGACCTCTACATTTTACTCATAATAGAAGGTAAGAGATTATTAAGGCTACAGCTGTGAGTGTGCAACAAGGAAGATATTTTAGATGGCTGCTGTACCACATGCTTTGGCCAAAGCAAAAGAGTAAATAATCTAAGCAGAGAAACATACCATTTTGATTTTTATTTCATTTGTATGTGCATGTCTATGTACTTGTATGTCATGTGTGTGAGTGTATACAAGCAGGACTGAAGAGTGAGTTGGATACTCTGAAGCCAGTTATGGGAAGGTGTGAACTGCCTGATATGAGTGCTGAGATCTGAACTTGAGTCTTCTAGAAGTGCGGCAAATGGTCTTAACTGCTGAACCATGGAACACTGGTGAAGAGTTAAAGGGAATATTGGAAGGATAAGACCAGCCATGTAACTGCCATCCGATCACAAAGAGCTAGGACTAGGGTGTGGAATGAAAATGAACCACAGTGGTTATAAAAAGGAGAGAACAGTGATGTGAAAGAACCCTGTGGGTACAGTGTGGAGAAGGCACAGGAAAAGGGACATACATCCAGGATAGGCCCATTGCATCTAATGTGCTGCCTGATGCCGCCTGGTCCTTATGGACACTGATAGATTCACTTAAAATGGCAGGTGACTGAGCTTGAGATGTGAAGAGGAGGGAGGACTAGAACAATATCCAAAGTTGTTGGTTGCCTTTGCCTCTCCCCACTCTCTAACCCACATCCACAATGGCAGGTGGAGGGACATTCACAGGGCAGCAGAAGGCATGGACTTGGGGAACTGCAACAGTCCCATGCCAGCTGCCTCTCTCCACAGATCTTCTGTATAACTGACTTCTCCTGACAGAGTTCTCGGCCTGGGTCTCCATCATTCTTGTCAGGTGGCTTGTGGAAAGTCTCAAATGCAGAGATCTGCTTCTGGGAGCATTTCTTAAATGTTCTATTCAGACTGCCCCTTAGGAAAAGAGAGACTCACTAGGGCCCTGACCTGCACTTCTGCTCTCCATTGGCTTGTATAGTGCTACCTATTGAATTACCCGTCCCTCCCTTCTTCTTTCCACTTCTCATACTCTCCTTCCTCTTTTCCTCCCTTCCTCTCTTCCTCCCTCTCTCTCCTCCTACATAGCCAACAAACTATAAATACAAAAGAGCTCTCTCCAGCATAATAACCCACACATCATAGAGCATCAAATTCTTCCATGTCGGGAGCCGCTCCCGCCATTACAAGATGGCGCCGGCTTCCTGCTTCCTGGTTCTTCTTGCCAGCATTTTCGCGCTTCTTGCCTGCGCCGCCCTGCAGTTTACGCATGCGCAGCTTTATGCTAATGAGGGTTTAGGCTGCACTCCAATTGCCAGCCATATGCTTATGAAGACTTGAACAGAGCACCAATTACAGACGGACAGGTCGCGCTGCTGGCTATTTAAGCAGAGCACAACCCGGGGTTTGGGTCCTTCACCATCTGCAAGAAAGAGCTGTACAATAAACTTGCCGCTGAAGAAATCCTCGGTTGTCGCGTCGTCCTTATCGGCAAAGGCCGCGCGCGACAAGTGGTGCCGAAACCCGGGAACCGCCGAACCCCGGAGTGGAGGATCGCTTCGAAGGACCCCGACTGCTCGTCGAGTAAGGATTCAAAGTCAGTGGCGTGAGAACCGCGGTACTTTTCTGCAAGGTATGATTTCTGTGGTCTTGTTGTGTTGTCTGTGCCTTAGTTGTGGGAAACGGGACCATCAAGACAGTCTATCCAAAGCAGAAAAGGGAATTAAGACCGGTAAATCCCCTAAGGATGGGACCAAGGAAGATAAGGCTAAAGCGCTAAAGGCGCAAAAGCTAGTTAAGAAGTTTAAGAAACCAAAACAGACTGGTAGCAAGGAAAAGAAGAAAGCCGCCTCGTCATCGAGCGAGCCGGAGTCTACAGAGAGCGAAAACAGCTCTTCTGAGAATCAACAAACTGATGAGGAATCAGGGCTCGACCCTGACGAGCAGGCAGAGTTGGATGAGGAAGCAGCTAAATATGAGGAAGGGCGTTACCGCCCGGATCTGCCACCATATGTGGCCTATGCTGGCACTTCCGGGTTCTCCATGCGGAAGTCAGCCACTGAAAAACCCAAATCTGCAGAGATAAAATTTTCCCTGATATCAGAAAAAGAGAGGAAGCGGATTAAAACCGCGTTCCCAATCTGGGAGGACGCTCGGGTAATTAATCAGACCTTATACCCACCTGAAGTATATGAACAAATACCGGTAACAAATCAAAGCTTGGCAGCAGCTGTGCTCTCTGCTCTTATAATCATTAAAGGACCGGATCCTATTTTTATAAGATCCAGGGGAGCTGTGTGTATTTTCCCACAGGACCAAGAAAATCCAATTTGGGTTCCGGCGCAATTGACCCGGGTGGTGAAGCAAGATGAGCCTGACCCTAACCCTGATCCTGATCCTGAGCGGAGTGCAGATGAACCTGGAGGTGGAGACCCAGGAGATCCGCTGGGGGATCCTATCAACATTCCCACGACCAATGCCAGTCATGTATGATGCACAAGTCTTCCCCCGGCTCTTTACCACCAATGACTCCATAGGGCTACCATATTTGCCAATGTCTCAACAATCTAATTGGTCCGCCGAATTTGATGAGACAATGAGAAAATTACGCCTAGCAATTGTTCAAATTAATTCCACTCGCCTAGATGTTTCTGTTACTCAAGGATTATTTAACTGGTTGTCCTCTGCATTTTCCTATTTTAAAGAATGGATTGGTGTAGGAATGTTTGGCATGTCTATGCTCGCAGGGCTGTTCCTCTGTTTTTGGTTGCTCTGCCGTTTTAAGAGACAGCAACATCTTAAAAATGTGGCCATGGTGCGGGCTATGCTGGCTGTGGAACAGGGGACATCCCCCCAAGTTTGGCTTAACATGCTCAATCGTTGAGACATTGTCTGAACTTGTAGCACTCCTGACGGGCACAGGTTCCCATTGCACCAGGATGCTGTTCAAGACAGACCTCTGCACCTCCCAGGGCTCAGGTTCCCATTGCACGGGACTCAAGGTGCAGAGGGTCTCTTACACTGTGTAAACTCCTTGATCGCTGACGCTGTTGGCTCAGCAGGCTGATCGGTAACCTCATGGTGTGTTATTTTTCTGATTGAGATGGCCTTTAATATATATAAAAGGGGGAGATGTCGGGAGCCGCTCCCGCCATTACAAGATGGCGCCGGCTTCCTGCTTCCTGGTTCTTCTTGCCAGCATTTTCGCGCTTCTTGCCTGCGCCGCCCTGCAGTTTACGCATGCGCAGCTTTATGCTAATGAGGGTTTAGGCTGCACTCCAATTGCCAGCCATATGCTTATGAAGACTTGAACAGAGCACCAATTACAGACGGACAGGTCGCGCTGCTGGCTATTTAAGCAGAGCACAACCCGGGGTTTGGGTCCTTCACCATCTGCAAGAAAGAGCTGTACAATAAACTTGCCGCTGAAGAAATCCTCGGTTGTCGCGTCGTCCTTATCGGCAAAGGCCGCGCGCGACACTTCCACATCCACTGTATTATTAGGTGCAAAGAAATGTCTTACTGTATCCTCAAAAATGAAACCCTGCCCATGGTTTCCCTAACAAGTAGTCAAGGGAACTGGAGCTGCTTTGGTCTGCTCAAATAAAACTATGAGAAAGGAGTCAATCTATGCAGATGCAAAGGAGAGAGAGGGCAGGATTATATAATGGAAGGCAGAGCAAAGGACATGTAGGGGTGGGGCCAAGGGATATGTGTCAAGGAGGGAAATGCCTGATCTCCTGGATGGCAAGAATGTGCACCGCAGTGACAAGGCTTGGTCCCATTTGGTTTCTGCAAGCCTGCCTTTGCCCCACCACCACCACAGTGCTTGGTGTGCAGAGACACAGGGGAACACGTACTGCAAGAAAACAATCCTGCAGGGTAACAGCTGCCTGAGCAGCAAATGCCTGCAGAGCCATACAGATTGTCCCAAGGTCATTCCCTTCTTTAAATGTCAACAAGCCTATTGTTCCCACTGCTACACTAAGCATTATCAGACATTTCTGCAATTGTTAAGTATCCGTGCCATCACATTAGATTTTTTCCCAAAGGCAAAAGTTGAAGTAATAGTTCCCTAGTCCCTGCACTTTTCAAGCACAGTTCTGTGTGAAAAGAATAGAGTAGAAACCCAGTCTACACAGGAAGAGGAGCGAGGGCTGTCTCTGACATGGATTCTCTTGTGAGCTGTTCAGTTAACTTCTCCCTGGAGTGATGCCTTGCCAGGCTACAGGGAAAGAAGACACACTCAGCTCTGATACGACTTGATGAGCTGGGGTAGATGACAAGAGAGGAAAATTTTCTGAAGAATAGGGGTGGGGTATGAGGGAGTGGGGTGGGAGTAGGTGGTGGGGAGGGATGGGACTATGACCAGGATGTAAAGTGAATACATTAGTTAGTTAATTAATTTTTTAAAAGTCCGGAAGCAGTCCAAACAGTCTCCATAGTCCCAAGATACTAGTGACCGTTATACTCAAAGTTTTCTAAAAGTCCACATTAACAAAAGCCACACCAGTCAGTACTGTCATACTCCAAGCAGCAGGACAGATCAGGAGACACCACCCAGCTAAGCCCGCCCCTTCTAAGTGTGTTCCAGAAAGTCCATGTATCTTCAAAAATGGAACTCCTATGGTTCACTCCTGGAAAGGAGACCAAGGATTCCGATTTTTGGCTGAGCACTTTGCCCCAGCTCCCACCCTAAGGTTCTGTTCCTAAAAGGGAGCCTTGGGATTGAACTGGCAGCCTACCGTTTCTGCCACTGCTGACAGAAACAGCAGCCATTTCAGGGAGCTAGAGTATGGCGACGGTAGAGTAGCTTAGCCCTCAACCGTGTCTGCAGCGTTCTCAAGCTGTGAGCCGAGACCCCCATATTAGACCCTGTCTATCAGATAGTCAAGTCACTACTCAGAACAGTAGAAAAAATACACTTATGAAGTAGCAACAATTAACTTTATGGTTAAGAGTCAGAAGCACACCAGTCTACAATCTGAAGCCTGAACAGGCATGTAGGCACCCAGATCACCTACATGGAGAAGCTTAAATTCAGAATTTGCCACAGCTATGACAGTTTCCAACCACTGTTTCTTCAAACAATATACTGCTCAGCATTCCAGAGTTGGGGCTGTGATCATGAGCACATGCTCAATATTTGAACACTATTATTGTACTTAAAGAATACAAAGCAAATTGCTTCAATTTGTAAACTGGTAGTTTGTGAAATGTAGCCTGTCAAACTAACTTGTCCAAGATAGAGGTTTTCCCAAGAAAACTTGAGCTAATCTTAAGAAACTGCCCGTTTTTATAAATTTTACTGCCTCTTTTGTTCTTTCAAGACAATGGGTCCTGGGAGCTATCTGCTGCTTTTGCTTTTGTAAAAGCTGCTTGCCTGGTGGAGATAACTGAGGCATCTTCAGGATGCCTGTTGTAAAAGTCAGGCGCTGCCGGACATGAGCTAATTTGACCTCCAAAGAGCTCTGTAACTTTGTCTTTTTTCTTTCATGAGCCCTGCACTAACAATTTATCAGAGCCATACTCTGAACATCTTGAGTCTCAGCTATGGTCCTGGACAGTATCCATAGTCTTGCTCATTGTTTGATAAAGCCTCTTATCTGTTCATGGTCATGGCAAATCTCTGGTCAACCCCAGACCCAGATCATATTGGGTGAGGTAATGCTGATCCAGAGAGACAAAAATCACATATTTCTTCTCATCAGAGGATTCCAGCTCCAAATCTTCAGATCTGAGTTCAAATCCTAGAGTAACGGCAGAAGCCAGGAAAGTAAGAAGGGGTGATTCCTGGGTTAGGGGGTTGGGAAGCAGAAGAGAGGTGACTGGCAGAGAACAAGTGATCTGACGGTGAAATAGGAAGAACAGGGTGAGGATTCTAAAATAGGGAGGGAGGAGATGACTTCAGAAGACAGAGAGAGAAGGGTAAAATAACAGTAAGGATGTCTGAAAACATCATAAGGAATTGTCCTGTTGGCTATTTACTAACGATTCCTACAATGCACATAAGTCAGCACGCAAGTATACATATAGAGCTTGACTTTCTCATCTGAAAATGCTTCCTCCAAAAGTCAAAGGCCATCTAAGAAAAAAAAAAAAATCCAACAATAAGCATAAGAAACCCTCCGACCAAGAAAATCTTAAAATATTGTAGGCCATTGCTTTTGCCCTTCACTGCACCGCACCGCAGAGGTGGAAGGTTAAGCCCTATTGTTAAGGACACCATGAACTTCGGACATAGAACCTAGTGGTCCCTGAGCTGCAGCGAACCTGAAAGTCTCCTCCCTGAGGACCAGCTTTTATGTCACCAGAAGCACCGATGCCTTCCTGTCACAAATGCACCCACTGCCTTGTCCACCGCCACCATAGAAACCAGCACTAAAATGCCGCTGCCTTAACGGAACTGAAGGAGAAAAATGTCTCGGCCGCAAGTCTGTGTCAGCGTCATAAAGTGTGCCTCTACTCTTAACCCCTCCGAAGGTTCACCAGATGCTTGAAGTTGCGGGCACATGCCACAGTGCCGTGAGCCAGTAGTCTCTTCTCATAATACTGCACAAGGGTCGCACACTCAGAGCTGCCAGAGCACCCTTAGAGTTCATAGACGAACTCAAATCCTCACGTGCTGTTGCATTAGAAACACATCATCTATCTTAAATGGAGCATAGGGGGTACGTGGGAAGGGGGGAAGGGAAATGGGGTCATGATACAGTTATAAGTTGTCCAATACCAAGTGGTCAGCCCTAAACATGTGGATTTATGGGCATTTCTAAGCGAATTCACTTAGTGTGTGTGTGAGAGAGAAAGGGTTAAAAAACGAGAGGCCATGGATTTGCGAAGGACTGAGGGGAACAAAGGAGAAAATGGGAGGTTTTTAAATAAGTGCAGTACTCGTGTACACAATTCTCAAACAAGAAATAACTAAACTAAAACTCTGTTTTTGATTATGAATCTCGTCAGTGGTATAATCAGTAAAAAAAAAAAAAAAACTTACCTCACAGAATAAATAGGAATGATGAAGCTAAATCTGTTGACTGCTTTGGGAATTAGAGGCAGAATTCTAAGCTCTGCTTCATCAATGGCTGTCGGTTTAGTTACAGCAAGTTATCAAAAAACGTCTCATCCAGGAAGCCAGCATAAGGAAGATCTTTGTCTAAGTATATATTCTGAGAGACTACACCTGGGGTCAAGGTATTTCCTCTGCCCACTGACAGCCTAGGGATGTCATCAGAACATGAATTCTCACACCTTTTAACTTTTCTTTTTAGATAATAGATCCTCACCATTAAAAAAAAAAAAAAAAAAAAAAAAAAAAA